AGTTGGCAGTGAAGCTCCTGTGCGTGTGTGTCTGTGTGCGTGTCAATGTGTGTGTTTTTTTTTTTTATATGCTTGTCCAGTGGAAAGGTGCAATCTTGCAATAGTTTGCTATCTGAACATACTTACCACAAGGCTTGTCACACCTCGGTGAGAATTCCCCTCACCTCTCTGGTACCCGCTGACTTCCTCCTGCGGTGCAGTCAGAGGGCAGCAGAGACACACATATGCACAAACTCTCACACTCATACTCACACACCTACGCGTGTGCACACCCACAATCATGAACAAACCTACATTCACACCTTGTTGTTACGCGGACACCATGCAGCCTTGGGTTTACACCGCAGAACCCTAGATATATATCCATTTGCGTCACTCGGTTTGTTCATATTTGACACAAAACAGAACTGCGTGTGTTCTCGAATGTCTCCTTGTTGCTGTGGTTTAGTTTATAACTGTATAACACACATTTCTAAAGCTGTATCCAAACACACACAACAGCTGATGCCTATCTTTACCAGATAGATCTTATCAGATAACCATTTTTTTTTCCATTTTGGTTTGTGTTCATGAGAATTGGATTTTAGAACTGTGTACTGGGTGAATTCTGTACACGACTAAATGGTTTAAAACATCTCTCCAGATCACAGACCTCAGACAACGGCTGGCTGAGTCCCAGAAAACTGTGCTGGAGCTGGAGGCAGAGCGAGAGCAAAGGCAGCGCGACTACGACAAGAAGCTGCTGCTGGCCAAGTCCAAGATTGAAAATGTGCAGGTGAGAACCACCAAGACTCAAAACCAAGGTGGAAACAGGTCTATCGTTTCAAACTTGGACACAGAAACAGGGAGGAAAAAGTGTATTCAGATACTAAGAATAATAATAATAGTCATTTATATAGCAGTTTACAAGCAATTAAAGACGAAAAATAACAACAAAAGTGCTAAACTACGTGGATTAAGGGCGAGGGGCTAGTGGATTGGGAGCTGGAGGCAAGAGTGAAAATGTGAGTTTTGAGGGATTTCTTGAATGAAATAAGAAAGGTGTTTCAATGTTTTCTGTGTGTTTTTATTTCAGGGAGAGAAGGAGTGCCTGAACTCTGAGACCACTGAGCTTAAGCAGAAGGTTCGCTACCTGCAAGATCAGCTGCTGCCCCTCAGCAAACAGAGGGAGTACCAGGAGAAGGAGATCCAACGCCTCAACAGGGTGAGTGCACTTCATCTCTCCATCTATTACTGCATCTTTTCCACAGAGACGTTTCCTCTAATACTTGTTTTGTCTTACTTCAGGCCTTAGAGGAAGCCTTAAACCTGCACACCCCTTCATCATCCTCCCAAAAACCACCGGGTCAGGCTAACTTTCCCGATGCAGCCAATAACCTGAAGAAACAGGAACTGCTCACTCAAATTGCTGTACTAAAGGAACAGGTCAGTTTTTACTTGAAATATACACTCACACGTACATGGTTCTTTTTGCACTTGTACGTTCATTTCCTCAACTGATTGTATTTGTTGTTGTTTTGCACTTCAGGTAAAGATCTTTGAAGAAGACTTTAGAAAAGAGAGAAGTGACAGGGAGCGAATGAACGAGGAAAAGGAGGACTTGAGGCGGCAAGTTGAGAGACTCCAGGGTCAGATCACTAATTTAACCAATCAGGTAAGCTGTGTGTTTACAGTTTAACTGTCTTGTGTGTGTGGCATGATAACAAATGCTTTTTTTCTTTCTTGCATTAAATTACAATCATAACTGAATTACTCTTGTTTTTTTCTCCACTAATTGTGTTATTGTGTGTTTGGTTCAGCTTCACCAGGCACAGAACGAGTGTCAGAGAGAACGTACGGAGAGATGCAAGCTGGAGAGACTGCAGATGCAGCATCACAAACAGGTAGGCTACTGGCTGCAGCTCAGATCTGACTCTAGAAGTGTTGCCGACATGTTGAAATGTGAATTACATTGTTGCCGTCCGCCTGGAAATAAATAGATGACATGTTTGTCATACTTTCAAATCATTTAATCAGGGACAATGCAGTCACTGAGAGTTGGGATGCGTCATGCACGAGGATATGAGTCAAACCTTGCAGACTAGCGCCCCCTTGTGATAGAATGCAGTCATTCAACCGACTGCAATAAGTTCTTACACCAAGCCTTACTCGGGTTAGAGTGTTTGTCAGTGCAGCAGGTGGAGCCACTGTTCCCACAGTGGGGGCCGCCGCACTAGGGTGAAGGTCAGCGCTGGCCCGTGCCATGACAGGGCCACAGTGTCCTCGCTGAGAGTAGCCGTACACTGATTGGGGATCACGTGTGTACTTGTGATCCCTCGTAGGGGCAGCAGCAGGAAAGATGTACCTCAGACCCCACGTCAGGCTCAGTGAACGGCCCGCTGAGCCCCCCCTACTGTGGTCCCTTTGTGCAGGTGGGACCGCAGGGCCTTGAAGGCTGGCCGGTACACTTCCCTCCCCGGATGCCCAATGCAGCAGGCGCCAACGCCGCAGCCACAGCCGCAGCACCGCCCCCCATACGAGACTTCCAGCCCGTTACCCCGGTAAGGGCCCTCCAAGGCCCCTCTGTCTCTGTCTATGGAGCGACTCTGGTTCACTGAGGAAACACGGCTCTTTTCTCTCTTTCCTCTACTCCCCTTATCTCTTGGGAGGAACTTGTCATTAGGTCTAACTATAGCTCAACCTAGCCACGCTTACATTTAATTAACATTGTTAGGTTAAGCTGTAGGGCTGCTGTTTTTGATAAATGGGGATTTTTTGTGATTTCAACTAAATTGGTGCTTTCTCTTTGGTCAGGGTTTTCCTTGGCAATCGTCATTCCCACAGCCCAGAGGGGCCAGAGCAGTAGGAGAAAGTTCAAGACCACCACCAGAAAATGCAGGTATGGTACAGCCAGCCAAGCACTATTGTTTTTTTATTCCAAAGGTTTGTTGTAAATCACATTTGTGTTTTATATCTCAAAGCATACAGCTTGTGTATTTTTCCTTATCGTCAATATAAAGACTTTTTTGTAGCAGTATGTAGGCTCTCAATTATTTGAGTTCCCTATCTGTGGCTACACGGATCAATACATTCTGCTTTTGAGATTTGCTGCTCAATTTATAGGATGACATGACAGCTAAATGTGGACTTATCCATTCAAAGTGAAAAGTGTGTAAAGCTAAGTTTATGACTGAACATAACCGAGTCTTGTCTTTCCGTGTCAGTAGATCAGTCCGCAGCAGCAGCAGCTTCAGCAGCCGCAGCAGCCGCAGCAGCGTCGGCAGCAGCGACAGCAGCAGGATTTGGAAAAAGGGAGCGACAGAACATTGACCCTGGAAAGCACTAAAGCATCACCGTACCCACCAAACGGAGTCTGGGTAGTAGCATGACATCAGTTTGTTTTTGAGTTGACAAGGTGTGATTTGATCTATAATTTTCCTACTGAACTGTAGATATCCTATTGTAATGTTGTTTATACTTGCGTTTTATAAGGCTATTTGTGAAACACTTCGCTATTCTGAATATATACATGAAATATTATTTAGACTTTTTTTTTTATCAGGAACTGAAGTCATTTGTTAAATAGGTTGGAATAATTAGCATTCTTTTTTTTCTCCAGAAAATATACCTATGTGCTTGTATCACTGCAAAGATGTAACAACTGGACACTTAGTTTGGTACTTGTAGGGTTACAGGAAGCCATTCCCCAATATGACTAAGACAACATATACTCATTCCAACAATGAATGATTATATACGTACATCAAATCATAGAGTTTACAATGTGAATGTTGATTGATTTATGAAGATTTCTTCAATACCATTGATGTTTTAGAACTGTCCCATACGTGTAACTGTTCAAAAGTGGTTGTTGAAATACAAAGATTTTGGGAAATGAATTTTGATGGTATCATACCAAAAACATGATTGTGATTATTGATAATTTATTTATAACCTGCTGTTTTGATAGTTGCATTGACTATGTGTAAATCATTGTCTTTAGTAATGCTGTTCTTTCTATGTTGTTAGTGTAATCCAAATATATTGTAGCTATTGACATTGTATGTTTGTATCAGACACAATACACAATGCACAGAACATACACAGCCTTTTTTTCCCATGATGATGGACCTAATCTCATTAAACACAACACTTCTACTTGATTACAATTGATTTGACCACTCATTGCAGTATTCATACTCATCTAACGGCATCTTGTACCACAGTTAAGACCCCAAATAGAAGTTAGAACAACAAATCCTTAAGGCAATAACTGCCTTCCTCTACTGCGTTTTAATCTCAACTAGTATGGACTCATTCAATATATGTGTAGGATAAAGAAAGGGGAAGATTCTCATAAATATTTGGAAATCCTAGAGCTGTTATAACGGCAGTTCAGTTGCTCCAGACCTCTCCCAGCGCTGTCTACTTCAACAACCAGCAATCCTTCCCATGCAGACAGTCCTGTTAACTGATGTGATACAAAGTAAAGTCCCCCTGATACAACAGATACACACCCAGAGATAATATGCTTTACCATTATAAAAGTATCATCTCAAATCAAGCCACTGTTTAACTGAATACCCATTCAATTTCCTTAGTATATGTCAGATGAAGGGCTCAAAACGTGCGCAGATGAACTAGAAAAAGGCTCCAATTTTATCAAACCATTTTAGTTACAGGGAACAAAATCCTGATGGGTGAGAGCTGAAATGAGAAATTGCACTTTGAAAGGTATGCTGTAATTACTGGCAGTTGTATTTTCTTGGTTTGTAGCCTTTTCTTTTTTTGCTGTAGGCAAAAGCACATGTGAGACTTTTTGTATTTGACTGGCTTAATAAATCTATTCTAAATGTCTTCTAGCATCTTACCCTATACTTATTCATGTTGATACTTTCCCCGTTTTTTTTTTATTGCATTTTAGAAATGTCGTTGCCACAAGTGTGCTACATGTTCACCTTTCTATAACAGGACACCCACATAATATCAGCTTCTTGTTGAGAAAATACTTCACAAATCGGTGTGATTTCCATGATTTATTCAAAGTAATTAAAGTGTATGATGTAATGGCTAACAGGTCCTGGGATGAGAAATGGACATAAAGCTGTGGGGTAGCAGGGCGGCTCGAATGCACTGAAGAGCCGTCCTGAACCCCAGACTCCGAAGAGGCACCACAGATTTACTGTTTTCAAGCCTCATCTTCATTAAACATGCCATTTTCATAGATCAGAATCTGTTGACATTACTATCTTTTACATTCAACATAAGCTCTACTTATCCTGGTACTTCATAAGTTGGACAATACTGTATGAGGCGATCTAATTTAACCTCTGCTGTGGGTATAGTTGCAGGAGCAGATATTTGCGGATGTCTGCTCGGACCTGAGGAATGGAGATACTTGGGTGCCACCTCATCACTGGCTTCCCGTCTGGGCCCACCAGAAACTTTTCAAAGTTCCACTTGATGTCGCTGAGCTTTATGGGCCCCCAGTACAACATGCTGGGGTCGCCCAACAGCTCTCCAACAGGAGGGCATGATTTCTGCGTGGCACAAAGGACAAGATGTCACACAATGCAGGAAGAACTATTCAGATCTCTGACTTAATACAATAATGCAGATAACACTCTGTTACAAGTCCTGCATTAAAACTGTGCATAAAGTACAAGAGTATTAGCATTAAAATATACTTAAAGCAGGGAGACCCATTTCAGAATCTTATACTTTATATTACTGGATTATCATTATGTCTGCATCAATGCAATCATCACCCTACCATTGCAGCTAAAAATAGAGCTCTCTTTAATGCCTTTATTTACTGCTGGTATAGTTTAATCCACAAGGATATATTATTATTTGATTTGTATTCTGTATTTATAATTTAGACATTTGCAAAGTAAGGAGTAACTAAAGTATAAATAAAGTAAAGTGGCAATCAAAAAACCAGAAGGCATTTCCGAGTGGGTGCGCAAATCATCCATTTTGCTTAGTAAACTAAACCTTTAAATTATGCTTGAATAACTCAGAGTTGATGTATATCAGGTATTTAAGAAAGTAATCACACAGAGACGTACCTTAAGGAATGTGAAAACCTCTTGCTCGTCTTTTCCATTGACATCACCTTTCTCAAACAGCAGGAAGTTTGGAACAAATCCGTTTCCTGGTCTAACATGCCTGGAATTCAGGAAGAGGGCAGATTATCAGTGGACAGAACTGTGAGCACTTTGGGCTTGGCAGCTGGGTCATTCTACAGAAAAGGTGGAAGTGCTGTCACTTACTTTTGCAGACACCAAAATACATGACGTTGACCTAATACTCACATTCATTATATATGTTGAATAAATAGAGATTGTCTTTGCAATGGTACTAAATAAAAAATGGTTTTATACGTAAATTGCAATTTATTTAAAATGCCAAGTTCAAGGAACTGCCTTGTCACTTTGATCATACATGGAAGTGGAGCCCATAGTTTGAATTTAAAAGATTTTTTTTTCAATAAATAAATCTAATTTATATTTACATAACAAGCATTAAATATAACACTGAAATGGTAAAAAAAAACGCAAATTATTATTAATAACCCAAAATTACATCATTGGTGTTACTGCTACACAAAACGCTTTTAATTTGAAATAATGTACTGTCTCTGAAGTGCCTCCTGTAACAAGAGATTATTTGAGGCAGTGCAGTGGACAAAGACATAAGGAAAGTCAGATACTTCTTACTTTGTTTGTTAAAGGTGTCATTTTATCTTCAAATTTTACATGCGTCTTTCAAGTCTGTCATTAGTGTTACTCATTGCATAGCCCTAGGGGTGAACATTTGAATGGGAAAATGTATTGTATTGAAGAGTTACACGATTTTGATATTGACTGAAGCCATATTTGGTCTGACACATTGCAGCCATTTTGTTAAAATGGTGTTTTCTCCAAATTGTCACTGGTGTTACCGTCACTGGTGTTACTCTTCTTCCTGGTAACACGTAACACCAGTGACATTCCTATACAAATAAGCTTTGTATAAAGTATAAAAATAATTTAAAAAATAAAAATACTTTAAGCAATACTTGTTATGGATTCATCAAGTTAAGAGTTAGTTATTGCTATTTAACAGGTTTTAGATGTTTTTAGAAGGAATATATTTCAGCAGATTTGTATCACCCAGATTCCACCTTTTCTGTAGAATGACCCAGCTGCCACTACATTCACTACAAGCTGAGGAAAAACACATCTCTTGCAGTGGCTTTGCTATGGCTCGCTGATGGAACCTGAGACATAAGATATATGTGTGTAACAGAGGCCACTAACAGAAACTGATCGTATTGCCAAAGGATGTTTTCCCTGATTAAATGAAGCTTTGGTGATTGAAGAGGATTTACCATTATTGCAAATTCCTCTCTGCATCCAGCTTTGTAGGTTCTTAAGTTACAGAACCGTACAATGTATGGTATTGAGACTGAGGCTTTGAGGCTTAAATTCTCATGTTTTCATGTCTTAAAGCAATACAAAAAATCAAGTATTAAGGACTTCAAACTTTCCAAAAAGCTTTCATTTAGGAGGAAAAGGGAACGTTACTTTATTTATTTGGATTGGGTTCAATGTGTTGTTTTTTTTACTGAGTTGTGGATGTCCTAATACTGATTTGCATTAAAGAGAAACATTTCTCACATTAGACCTGGCAGAATTTCATGTTTTTGCCCTGGTTCCTGCTTCCCAAACTGGTTGCAGGGAAAGCCGAGAATGGTGAGTCCAAGAGGTTTCATCTCTTCGTGCAGTGCATTCAGTTCTGATAACAAAAATAAATTAGAGAGCGCTGATTTGTTCTAATACTGTTACATAACAAATATGGCTTTTGTGGTGTTTCTTACCAGCATACTGGAAGGTGTATCGTCAGTAGGTGGCCACGTTGATGAAGAGGACACTCTTGCCCCTGTAGTCGCTGAAGTTCACAGTGCGTCCGTCGTTTAGAGTGTTTGCATGGTATCTGTAAATGTCACCATCTATTGGTTCACACAGCTGGGAGTACAAACGCAGGTCACAGCAGATTAGCTTTGTTTTCACAGGCCAACAGCCAATACAATGCTTATGTTTTTCTTAGTGTAGTACGTGTTGCTTAAAAAAGATGCTTGCTGGACATGTATGCAAAAAAGCCTTCGACTTTACCATATCTGGCTAGACAGGATAAGTGTTTGCTTTAGATTTACATTTTCTACAACGGCCATCTTCTGCCTGTTAGGCTTTGGCATGGAATTGACCTCTGTTAAATGGGTCATTCTAGAATTGGAGGACAATTTAGACACCAACATTTTTGAAAAATTAACCTTTTATTTTATTTTAATTTTTTATGTATTTAGGAAAAATAGATAATAAACCATAAAAAAAGTGATTTGCCCAGCTAAGGCATCACATGTATATTTTCCAATGAAGAATCACCCCTGTTATTCTAATTATAGTAACAGGGTTGAAAGTAACAGGGTTGAAAATCAACGCTAATTTGAGCTTTAACCTCAGGAATTACTGCTAGATGTAGCATTTAATGCTACTTTCAAGACAAGGACAAACTTGGATATCTACTGAAAGAAAAATAACTTTGAAATGAATATGCTTTATTCTGATAATATGAGTAACAGGGTTGAGTGGGTCAGAGTGCCACACTCTTTTAAGACTGAAAAGATTGTAAAAATATGAAAAATAAAAGAGAGGACTTAGTTTTGGTCTACCCATGGCATTAGCACATGGCTTGCTGATGTCCTTTCCACTGCGTCATCTGACTTACAGTTTTTTCACTTCCTCTGCCAATCTAAAAAGGTTTGGGTAACAGGGTTGAACGCATGTTGAGGGACACACCTTCTGTGCAAAATTACTGTTATTTAAAATATGTTTATGATTTAACAAATTGATTTGACCATTACACGAGACATATACAAATATGATTAATATATCTTTACTGTCAGGCTATGTTCCACAGTCATTTAAAGTAGCTATAATTAAACCTATTATAGGTTATGGCCAACTACAGCCCAATATCAAACATTCCCTTCCTCTCAAAAATCCTCGAGAAAGCAGTGGCCTCACAATTGTGTGCATTTTTAAATACAAATTGTTTATTTGAGAAATTCCAGTCAGGTTTTAGAAAACATCATAGCACAGAGACAGCACTGGTTAAAGTCACAAATGACCTGCTTTGTGCATCTGATAATGGACTTGCCTCTATCCTGGTTCTGTTAGATCTGAGAGCTGCCTTTGACACTATTGACCATAACATACTACTCCAAAGATTAGAGTTTTTGATAGGTATAAGGGGAACTGTACTAAGCTGGTTCAGGTCTTATCTATCAAAACGGTCTCAGTTTGTATCTGTCAACGATGAATCCTCATTACAAACTACAGTCAGTCATGGAGTACCGCAAGGGTCTGTACTTGGACCCATCCTGTTCATCATATATATGCTACCATTGGGCAATATCATAAGGAATAACTCCATACATTTTCATTGTTATGCAGATGATACACAATTGTATCTATCAATTAAACCAGATGTACAATTTCCATTAGTTAAACTGCAAGAATGCCTCACAGACATAAAGACATGGATGACCAGCAACATTCTATTATTAAACTCCGACAAAACAGAAGTCATTATACTAGGCCCCCAGCACCTTCGGAACGAACTGTCCAACAACATAATTTCTTTGAATTGTTTTACCATGACCTCCAGCACCGCGGTAAAACATCTTGGTGTTATTTTTGACGAGGATTTGTCTTTTAAATCCCATATAAAGCAAATTTCAAGGACTGTCTACTTCCATCTACGGAATATTGCAAAAATCAGGCACATCCTAAATCACAACAATGCAGAAACACTAATCCATGCTTTTATCACCTCCAGGCTGGATTATTGCAATTCCCTTTTATCAGGCTGTCCAAACTCATAATTAAACACCCTTCAATTCATACAAAATGCTGCAGCACAGGTTTTAACAGGAACACTGGACCACATCACTCCTGTTTTAGCAGCATTGCACTGGCTACCAGTTAAGTCCAGGATTGATTTTAAAATACTTTTTTTACTCACATACAAAGCGCTAAATGGTCAGGGACCATCCTACCTACAGGATCTTTTAATCTCCTATTGCCCCTCTAGGCCTAGGGCATTAAGATCCCAGAGTGCAGGTCTGTTGGTGGTTCCCAGAGTCCACAAAAAAAGGTCAGGTGCTAGAGCTTTCGGCTACCAAGCCCCGTTCCTCTGGAATCAATTTCCAGTGACGATCAGGGAGTCAGACAGTGTCCACACATTTAAGAGTAGGTTAAAGACTTTCCTTTTTAGTACAGCGTACAGTTAAGACAGTTAAGTTTTAAACCCCCTTTTATACATCCTCATGGACCCTTCGTTTTATGGAATTTTATTTATTGTACTCCAACTGTATTTGTGTTATGTTTCTTTTTAAAATTGGTATTTTCACATTGATCTTATAAGATACGTTTGTTGTTTTTACATTGTTTTACATTGCCAATTGTGTTTGTTGACTTGTGAAGCCCTCAGAGACAAATAGGATTTGTGATTTTGGGCTACATAAATAAACTTGAATTGAATTGAATATATCAATAGAATAATACCAACAAAAGTAAATAAAATCCCTATTTTAAATGCTATATTTGAGATGCAAGTTGGTCACCAAGAAGCGGGGACAAGAGAAAAATGCCATTTTAGGGGGTGTTCGAGAGCTGTTTGATAATTTAAATCACATTTTGTAACCACTTTATATACATTTTGTCTCAAGACAAGTATGTTTAACACAACAGTGCATGTTTTAGCTTTTTGGGCATGGATTATTAGATTTCTTATATGGGGGACATGAAATGTCCTCCAATTCTGGAATGACCCATATGTTTGATCATGTTGGTTTGTAGCCTATGTATCTAGTATCAATGATTTGTTTTCATCCACGTCACTTTCCCTGAAATTAACAACAACAACAAAAAACACTTTAATTACAATATGTTTATTGCAGCAGCTCTATGAGTCCCACATCTATTTGAATATCATGGTCATTGAAAAAAAGGATATATTTTTAATACACAGACCTGTTAGACATTTCATATCATTAAATCAATCATACATTTAACAAAATAGCCAGTTCGCCTTGTGCAGTTTAATCAGGGTGAACCTACCAGCTGTGAAGTGCATCATTAGAAAATAGACTGATGTCATCTGTATATCTATCTGGAGTGATTAGATGCAGGTGTTGTGGCGGATATCAACAGGTGGCCTACCTGTGTGAGTGCCAGTGAGCATCCAGCGGTGAATGGTCGCAGCAGACCGAGCAGCAGCAGCGGGAAGAGGGGTCGCATCATGTCGTCCTCTCACGACACGTTGCTCTGAGTGTCTCTCCGCTTCTCCCTGGGGATTAATAAAGTCCTCTGGCGGGGGTTGGAGGCGCGGAGGGCGTACAGCTGCTGAACAACACCCTCTGGTGGCTATAAATGTACACAGTGAGATAGGCCCATGCATGGATAAAAGCTGTCAGCGAGGAAAAGGAGGACTTGAGGCGGCAAGTTGAGAGACTCCAGGGTCAGATCACTAATTTGACCAATCAGGGTAAACTGTGTGTTTACAGTTTAACTGTCTTGTGTGTGTGGCATGATAACAAATGCTTTTTTTCTTTCTTGCATTAAATTACAATCATAACTGAATTACTCTTGTTTTTTTCTCCACTAATTGTGTTATTGGGTGTTTGGTTCAGCTTCACCAGGCACAGAACGAGTGTCAGAGAGAACGTACGGAGAGATGCAAGCTGGAGAGACTGCAGATGCAGCATCACAAACAGGTAGGCTACTGGCTGCAGCTCAGATCTGACTCTAGAAGTGTTGCCGACATGTTGAAATGTGAATTACATTGTTGCCGTCCGCCTGGAAATAAATAGATGACATGTTTGTCAGAGGCGCGGGAAGGTATTTTGAGTGGGGGTGCTGAGGTGCTGGACTCCAGTGAACACTATTACGGGCACTATAGAGCACGCACAAAAACACTCCCCACACACAGTACACCCGCGACACACACAGTGACGTCACGAACTACCCACAATGCAACACGCGCCATATATATATAAATACGCCATTTTCCTGGAGGTGCAAATATCCTGGAAGTGCAAATATAAACAGCTAGCTAACGTAGCCATGCAGAGCACACTAGGTTTTTTTTTCTGAATTAACGACTGAAGAAATCGCTGCATGTCTTCGGATTACATCTCTGGACTTGAGGGGTGTGCTCTAGGTCGTTACCAGCGTAAACTAGAGCTGTGTGGGTTGTCGGATTGCCCTTACAGACTGCCTGCAGATGTATGGAAAAACGACCCTCGAAAGTGGCCTTCGTCGATTTTGGCTGCATCAACGTCTAATTTCTGGAAACACCAGGTGAATACCCCACTTGTCACAATAATATTATCATGCCATTGCATATATGTGGTATTTTAGAGTTGACTAGATATTGATTAAGGCAATAGACTATGATATTCAGTACAGGAAGCTTAGCAACACCTACGGTACGCTTGCACCTCGCGTAAAACGGCGGATACCGGAAGTACGGTGTCGCCCTCGGCCCAATACCCGTATGTGTGTGGGAAAGAATAGGCAGGGGTAACGTGCTATTTTTTACGAGTGGGGAGCGGACCTCACCTCCTCTAGGGGAGTCCGGGGGGATGCTCCCCCGGGAAGATTTTGTTTAAATATTGAAGTTAAAAGCATCAATCTGGTGCACTTTGAGAGCAACATTAAGAGATCTATGGATATATCTCTCAACACCCAGATGAAACACAACTGTAAGCAGATGTTCTTTTTATTTATGGATATTTTACAAATCACTCCTCTACTGCGTTTAATCTCAACTAGTACGGACTCATTCAATATATGTGTAGGATAAAGAAAGGGGAAGATTCTCATCAGTATTTGGAAATCCTAGAGATGTTATAACGGCAGTTCAGTTGCTCCAGACCTCTCCCAGCGCTGTCTACTTCAACAACCAGCAATCCTTCCCATGCAGACAGTCCTGTTAACTGATGTGATACAAAGTAAAGTCCCCCTGATACAACAGATACACACCCAGAGATAATATGCTTTACCATTATAAAAGGATCATCTCAAATCAAGCCACTGTTTAACTGAATACCCATTCAATTTCCTTAGTATATGTCAGATGAAGGGCTCAAAACGTGCGCAGATGAACTAGAAAAAGGCTCCAATTTTATCAAACCATTTTAGTTACAGGGAACAAAATCCTGATGGGTGAGAGCTGAAATGAGAAATTGCACTTTGAAGGTGTTACGTGTTTGTGTTGCTTTTCTCTGTCTCTCTGCTGCTCAGGTACACCTGGTCCGCCCCTGGCTCCACCTCCCCCAGGTGTTGATTGATTGATTGATTGATTGATTGATTGATTGATTGATTGATTGAAAAGTTTATTAACAGCTTGTATATTGGGTACAGTACAGTACAGCTCAAAACATACAATTGTTAAGGGGATGCAGACCAGAGAAAGACTTTCGTCTTGTTTACATCAGGGTCCCCCATTTCCAATTCATCATATCATTTAAGACATATAAGACATATTTGACATGTGGCTTATTTACAATTTACATACAGGTGGTTTTTTACATACAGATTGCTTATTTACAATTTTCATTTTAGATTTCGTTCTAATACATCCTAACCGGACATTTAAGACATACCAAGTCTACAGATATACAGTTAGTAACAGAGTCTAAAATGCGAGTATATACATAGATGGGGGGGTTGAGATTTGTACCATTACCGGGGCCAGTTTTGCAATGCTCTCCCCCGAAGGTGCTCTTTAAGAGAGGTTTTGAAGGTAAGTATAGTTTTACTTTCCTTTACAGTTGTGGGAAGAGCGTTCCACCTTGATGTGGCATAATTGCGAAACGTGTATTCCCCCTTTTTTGTGCCAAATCTGGGTTTCACATGATTTGTGAAGCTCCCTCTGGTGTTATGATCATGGTATTCCTTGACCTTTGGGAAGAATTTTGACATGTACATGGGTACCATAGAGGTGTAGTGGATCTTGTAGACCAGGCCCATTGCAAGTAGCTGTACTCTGTCGTCTACTCTAAGCCATCCTAGGTTGTCAAAGTGGGCAGAGGTGAGGTGGGTTCTAGATGAAAGGTCAAGCAGTAGTCTGACCAGTTTATTTTGCGATGTTTGAAGTTTTATTTTTAGCGCCTTGGAGGTGCTATGGTACCATGACGTGAAAGCATAGTCATAGTACCCTTGAATGAGTGCTCCTGTCAGAGTTTTCAGGGTGTTTTTGTTTACCAGAGAGGAGATCCGGTATAGGAATCTAGTTCTTTGATTGACTTTTTTTATTACATTGGATGCCATTTTGTCACAGGAGAGGTTTGCCTCAAGAATAGATCCTAGGTATGTAATTTCCTTCTTACTTCCACTCCCACTGCAACTGAGAAGTCGTCGGATTTGCTGAGATTATGTTTCGAACCGAAGAGAATGGACTCTGTTTTACCCAGGTATAATGACATTCAGCTGGGGACTTTAAAAGGAGAAGCTGGAGGAGAAGAGGCTCTCTTTTCCTGCCCTGATGCCGAGGGATTATATCCCTGGATTTCCTCTCACCCCACGTGTGGATCCATTATTCTTTTGGCTGTCTTATACTGTGTGAACTCTGGAGGATGTTAGTGTAGGATTTTTTGCGGCTTTGTTTTTTTCCCAGTAGGCTGTGTTAGATCTCTGGGTAGAGGAGGGAAGTCTGGGTCCTACGGCCCATGGTGTGGCTGGCCCAGGCCCCCCTTCTTCCTTTTTGTTTGTTTATTGCCGTCCTCCAGACTTGGTTCCTTTTTGCCGGTAGGCATGTAAGTTATGGCTGTGCTGACAATAAATGCCCGTCCTTAACGGTATTCTGTGTTTGGCGTGAGTAGTAGTACTCATACTGTTTCAATTACATTAGTATGCATAAAAAGTGACAGGTGGACACGCCCCCAATTATGCAAATGAGCTAAGTTCCGCCTCCCATTGTTCGCGATCCTTTGATGTGAGGGTGAGGGGTCATCACCCCCTAGGGGTGAAATGCCCCCCTGTGTAGCGCCTTTGTTCGAGATCCTTTTGATGTGTGTTATGTGAAAAGCCCCCGGGCTAGCGTCTTTGTTGTCTAATTCTTTGATGTGTTGATTAAGTCTCTTTGAAGCTGTATTGTAGGCCCCCCTCAGAGCCCTTTTGTTGTCTAATCTAATTATGAAGTCTAATCTAATTATGATGTCTAATCTAATTAGCCTTTGGTGTTTGCCCTTTGATGTGAAGTGTTATAACAGGCCGGTGTGACTTCACACTGGTGTGCTATAAACCTTTGATGTTAATCTAGGTGTCTCTTTGAAGTTATGTGTGAGACTGTCTACCCAGCCCCCCTCCCAGCCTCTCCCCCTTTTCTACCCCTTCCGGGGCTATGACGCAACAAATAGTGGGGGGTGGAATTAGGTAGAAATACGCTCAAACGAAATAACAAGACAGCAATTCCATTTAGCCAGTCACCTTTTACAAAAAAGAAAAATGGCAAGGGACGCCTCGAATTGGGGTTAATCAGCCTGTGACAATTTACAGCCATCCGTCCGTAGCGTCAGTCAAGAAACGAATGCAGCAGCAGTGCAGGGGTCAGACGCCTACAGTCTGTGCACAAATTTATCTCGTGCCCTCTTTTGGTCATGCGCGCGTTCATGTGTGTTGGAGGAGGGGCTCTGTGAGGAAGTGGCAGATTTTCCCCCGGTTTGACTGCAAAAGACTCCACTCAACATAACAAGCCCCCGCCTTTCCTCACCAGATCATTTAAAAATGAGAACACCTCAAGGACATTTTGTGAGCAGCAACCATGGATCGGGGAGAAAACAACTCTCTCACCGCGAGCTGCAGCCTGGAGAAAACGCCTGTAGGACCTCCATCCTCTCCAACAATCTGGACACCAGATCTCGACAGCTATATGGCTGATATTGATATTTCGGGGTGGCTGGATATGCACCAACCTCCATCTACTCCATCCGAGTCTCCAGGGGAATCAACAGCAGTAGGCATTGATGCGCCATGCTTTCCTTGTGCTCCCGAGGGTGATGCTAAAGAACGTGCTCGGACATCGTCATTCCTGAATACGGTAAAAGCAGTTGTAGTTCATCTGTTGGACAGGGTCGTGTACCTTTTACAGAAAGGAAAAATGTTACGGATGTCAAGTCGATCACCCAAGTCAGAGGCGGCACGAGTGTTTATTTCCGACCGAAGAATACTATCTGGATCGAAACTATGATGAAGTGGTAAAGAGACTGTGGACCGTTCGTTTCATTCCAGCCATTCGGGACGCTCTCCACCAGGGCCACCTTCATGTGTCGGAGAGGAGAGTCT